GCGGTCTCACCGACATGTTCGGTTTGACATTTAATTTATTTTATCCCTTGTCGGTTTCTTTCAGGTCAAAGCGACCGGCAGCGCGTTCGGATCACGAAGCACCGGGCACCCGATTGAAGCTACGCCGCGACTGCTGTGTGTGCTGACACAGTCGTCACATTTTGTGTCAACAGATTGCTTTTTCAAGCGAATAAAATATGTAAACATAAAGTTGATTGATCAAGGGACAGAGGATATCATACTTAAGTTTATTACAAGCTCAATGTCTACTTGTTCAGAAGTTGATGGATTGCCTCTATGGCTTCAGTCCTGATTCGGCTAACATTATCTAGCACTTTTCGATCCTCATCTTGAGAACTCGGATCTTTGGACAACTTAGTTTTGATTTCTTTGATCTTCTTTGATGGCGAGAAGTTATCTTTAGTAAAGTTGCTTCTATGTTCTTTGCAAATTAGCTATATGGGCCTTGTGAGACCGAATTTTGGCGTTCGGTTCGGCTAGTTGAGCTTCTAGTCCGCTTTTTCATCCTCCATGGCTTTCGATTCAGGCTCCAAGGTTGTCAAGGAGTTTCTTGTAGTGCGGATATGAGAGTGAAGATCTTTAATCTCCAACTTCTTCAAAGATCTATCTTTATGCAAAGCGATCCTCGAAGATATGTTCTTGGTTGCCCTTCTCACCGTGGCAAAGTGGTCATCAAGATGGGGTCTGCAGATTCTAGGGGGCCTTGAGGGCGGAAGGATATCTTCATCAATGAGTTCAATGAGGTCTCTTATCGATCGCATCTGAACCGGACTAATGGTATCCTTGTTTCGTGAGAATGATCACTTCTTTTAGCCGAGCACTGATTTTCCAGCGATAAGGTTTGTTGAGAAGTAATCTCTTCACCTTCCTCAATGATGTAGTCCTCAATAGAGAAGGAGTAGCTGGTGGTCGGTTTAGTAATGTTCTTCTAAAAGAAAAGAGAAGAAAGGAGGTGTTAGCCGATTGGGTGAATTTGCTAAAATATAGTGTAAGACAAGGCATTACTGCTGGTGATTGATCATCGGGATGGGTTATACTACAACTTCTTTGGAAGACTTTGCTGAATGTTCAGAAGGGACGGGTTTGGAGCTTGATCAGGAGAAGTTTCCCTTGCCAGTTCGTCTAAGATTTCATCTATAAAGTAAATGATAATGAGCATAAAGGATAGATGTTATTTTAAAAAAAAAAAAGAGAAAAAAAGAGAATTGGTTGAGCGATGTTACCTATAGTCTCATCAGTTTATGAGCCTTTGAACCTTGACTTCATGAGTCTCTGAAGCTTCATCATCATGGATTTCTTCATTTCGATAGAAACTTGAGAATTGGTTTCACAATTTCTTTGAGGTCTTTGCCTAGTCTGGGAATTTCGACTTGTGGCTACAATGGAAATAATGAATATAGAGGTGGTCAGGTTTACTGCTAAGTGGGGTTGTTAACCTGATGGAGGATAAAAGGTTCATACCTTAAGAGATGATTTGGCTTTCTTGGTCCTTGGTTTCTTGGGTAAGAGAAAACTTTTAGGTGTTTTCCTTTTGCTTTTTCCTCTTGAAGATCAAAATTTGAAGTAGCGGAAGTTCTCATGAGTACCTTTAGAGTCTTGAATCGAAGTTGCAGGAATTTTCATGAATTCCTTTAATTTTGGAGCATCAAACCCAGAAGCGGAGCTTGGGACCCCGCCCGAATAATCTTTGGATTGCTTTGGCAGGGGGAGTAGACTCAAGATCCTGTGCATAACTAGATGTTAAAATAAGAAGTGAGTTCAAAAGCAGGAAATGGTGAGCCTAATGAAATTACCTCACTATCAGAAGCAAAATCGGGCTACAAGTTTTTGCATAAAGGATGAACTGATATATTGAAGATATGAGCATGCCATTCTTGCCACCAAGAGACAAAGAAGGATGAGCAACATCTATTAGCCCAAATGGAGATGGTTCAGTATGTTGGCAATTCCATCCTAATTCAAAGATTTTCTTGGCTTCCATTCTTTTACATTATTACTTCCCTTGGCTTTATGATTGTTGAGAAGATGAATCTTGGGGCGGTGGCCACATCCTAATTGTCTCAGCCACCATATTTGGATAGTAGAATTCATAGGTGGACTGCACTAACCTCCCATGATGAAATTAATTGGTGGCAGAGTGCAAGGTTTGATAAAGGAGTTGAAGATCTCCGTGGATTCTTGACTGAACAACCAATTTCATAGCTAAACTTGCGGGGCAAAGTCAAATTTTCATTTTCTCTATAAAGGAAACGAGCACATTCGAATCCTTTGAAAAACAGCTTGAAGAAATGACCAATGTCTATGTCAATCTTGATAGATGATCTTTGCTTCCCCATAAGTCGACAAGCCTTAATCTTTGTTGTGTTTGCCTTGACATAGTTAATTGAAGGAAAACTTAGATTGAAGAGGCTCACAGAGGTTATCGATGCATGTATAATTTGGAGCCACATCTGAATTAGCCACCGGGACCATTCACACAAGAGATTTCTCTACCTTGGCGCATCGAAGAGTAATCGATGCATCATATGATAAAAATGAGACCCCAAAGATATTTGCCTAGTGGGATCTGAGTGCTGTGCTAAATCTTCAGCCATCACCATATGATTGAGTCGGTTCATTGGATTTTCCACGAAGAAGATGAATCTGCATAGCCACATGTTCATAAAGGCTTTCAACTCTTTGTCGAAATGATGTCGGATGCATTCATGTAGTTACGGATGTATTTGACCCATCCACATCGAGTAGCGGCTCTTTGATTACTTTTGCTCTTGTACTTATAAGGGTATCTTTGGTAGTGACACGTTCAAGCCATCATCATGAACACGTCGGCTAGAGTGATGGTCATCATACCGTGGCCAAAGATGAAGGCATTAATGGTGTCGGACAAAAATGGGAAAGCTGCTATCAAAGGGAATCGTTTACGGGTGTTTACGCTAAGGATAATTCCGGACAATGATGATGTCTTGACTTTCTCGATGGGCTGCTTTGCTTTTCTCCAAACATTCTCTGTACCAATTCCGCCATCCAATGATTGGGGAAATGGCCAATTCTTGAACGTGTTTGGCCATCGGTTTGGCAAGGTGATCCCAGATTTGAAAGGTATTCTTTGGGTTTCCTTCTCGATAATTTCAAAAGGTCGAGGATTTCCCATTGGACCGAGGAAATAGGAATCGGGGTTGGCGGCATAAGGGATCAAAATCGATTCTTGTATTCTGTAAAGGGTGATTTAAATCAAAGAGGAATAAGCCAAAAGAGGAGCAGGAAGATCAAGTGAAAATTGCGAATATAAGTGAAGTTTACCTCTAGAATTTCATCTGGGTCGCCATTGAAGATTGAAGTGGGTCAGAGGTTCTTATTTGAAAGCTTGAATTTTTGGGACAATGCATTTGCGGTGTTGAGCAGTCTTGACCTAGGAGGGAGAAGGAGCTTGTGGTCAATTTCAGAATAAAACAACTTTTATCCCGAAATTGAGGGGGCATGTGTTAACACTGGATTTTGGTCGACTTCGGAAGATGACAGGTGGACCCGCATACAAGAAGAAGGACATTCGGCAAACAAAACGAGCGGTCGGCTAAATGCTTGTGTGGTCGGTTACTTCAGAAGGTGGTGACTCCATTCGGGAAAGCAGAAGATGGCAAGCAAAGCCGATCGAAAAGATGAAAGTCGTAATAATAAAGGACTCTGAGAGTTTAGGGCAAGGAATCGTAGTTTCCAAGTTTGTTTAAGAGTTCCTTTGTAAATCGTAATCTTTTAGGACTCGTGTTTTGTCTAGGGTATAAATATTGACCCTCGACCATTGTAATAGGGGTTCACAACCAAATCAATACAACCGGCCCCGTGCCAACTTTCGAGTCCTTTTGTCGTGTCGTCGAGTTCTTCGAGAGGAGTCATCGATCCGTCGACCTCCGTAAGTTCCAAACAACCTTGTTATCATGTTTAGTATCATGCGGTGGATTTAAGCGTGGTGCAAGTAGTCTTGTTTGTTTTCAATGATCGTATGGCGGATCTTTGCTTGACAATCAAGAAGTCTTTGCTTATGCTTTGTTTATGAGTAGATACCCGTATGCGTGGCGTTTGCTCAATATGCTTAGTGAAGGCAAGGCAGGTTATCGGCTCTATTAGATATGGCAAAATCTACATAGATTCATTAAGTTATCCTGTGTTGCATGTTTTAAATATTTTATATATTTGTAACACACTTCTGCCCAATCTAGATTGATATTGTTCGGCCCTCATTTATGGTTTTATTCGTGCTTCAATGATCATTACTTTCGTATTACCTTTGCAAGGAGATAACATGCTCGTAATGGCTGAATTGTTTAAATCTAGATTGTCACATGTTGTGGGTTCATGCATGTTAATTACGTTTAAGCTTCGACGAAACTAGGTGTCGTCTGGCGGATCTTGAGTTTTAGATTAGTTTAATTGTGTTTATTTGCACGTTCCTTCTTCATGGATCCCAACTCAATTTGGATTCTTTGAGCTTGGTTATGCATTAACTCATGATTAATTTCACTTGTTTAAACATGTCTTCCCATGCACATGCATTGGCAATCGGATCTTTACGTGTGCTCATCTTACGATTAGCCGAATGGTTTATAAACTTTCTTGGCGAGATAGCTTCCTATAGGCTGTATGTCGTTGTAAGTGGCCGTGGTTGTATATATGGGCTATGCGGTCTCACCCGACATGTTCCGGTTTGATATTTAACTGTTTTATCCCTTGTTAGTTTTTTCAGGTCAAACTGACTGGCACGTTTCCGGATCACGAAGCACCCGGGCACCCAATTGAAGCTACGCTTTCCGGCTTGCTATGTGTGAGGCACAGTGCGTCACATTTTGTGTCAACATATACATATTAGAACAATCCACATCTACGTAAAGAGTCTAATTTTTATACTAACATTTGCTAGTAGGGAAAATTCATATTATCCCTAACCCGTTCAAGTCCGGTGGAACCACCGCACCCTCGACGCCGCCATGCCGATCTCCCCCACAGAGAAAGAGATGCCCAGGCATCGGCGGTACAGGCTATTGTCCAGTGCTTCTCGGTCCGTGCGGTCACCGGATAGGGCCGAATCCTGGCATCTCAAACCATGGCTGGTCATGCGGAGCTCGTCCACGGAGACAGAGATTCACGGTCACGGGCGGTTGAAGCGATCCTCGTCGTCCAAGGATGCCAGGGCCGACGCCTCACATTGCAAAGCACCACGGACCATGCGGATCTCATCGACAGAGATAGAGGTTTCTGGCCAGGGGCGGTTGAAGCGGTCGTCGTCGTCCGAAGCCGCCAGTGCCTCCTATCCGACTTGGGTGATTCTGAACCGGGTAGGCCCCCAGAGAGACTCCTTCCACGGCGACGCCACCACGTCATTTGTATCCTACACCTCCGGCGGCGATCAGGTCTCGGTCTCCTTCGTGCTAGAGAAGTCACTGCGGACTTCCCTCGTCACCCTCGACTGGCCACAAGGGCCCCGCCCGTCGGAGGGGAGCACATCAAAGCCTCACGTCCTTGCTGCGCACCGCAACGTCGTGCTGCTCGAGATCATCTCCCGTGCCAAGTACCATGCTTCCATCGACTTCTTCGTCTACAAGGCTAGCGGCAGCGAGGGACCCTCCTTGATGTTGGGTTTTAGTCCCACATTGTGTAGCGATGGTGGAGGAGCATAACTTATAAGGTGGGGGCAGTCCCACCTATTAGGCTAGTCTTTTAGGTTGAGTGAGGCCCAAAGGCCTTATATGTTGTCAGCTTCGGTGGATCTAGGGCCTGTGGGAGTGCAGGCTCGTGGTAACGAGTCAGGCCGGCTATAAACCAGCTCCAAGATCGAGAACTCGATGGTCACCACCGGTTCCAACAACTGGTATCGGAGCCCATGGTAAAAAAAGCTAAACCCGATAAAAAATCTCGATCATAACATCATGGCGGGGGCACCCCGATGTGTGACTAAGGGGAAGATTGTTGGGGTTTAGTCCCACATCGTGTAGCGATGATGGAGGAGCACAACATATAAGGCGAGAGAACCCCCATCTATTAGGCTAGCCTTTTGGATTGAGTTAGGCCCAATGCCTTATATGTTGTCAGCTTCGGTGGACCTAGAACCTGTGGGAGTGTAGGCTCGTAACGAGCCGGGCCGGCTGCAAGCCAGCTCCACGATCGAGAACTCGGTGGTCACCACCGGTTTCAACAATTAGTATCAGAGCCCATGGTCAAAAAAGCTAAACCCGATAAAAAATCTCGAACGTTACATATGGCGGGGGCACCTCGATGTATGACTAAGGGGAAATTATTGGGGTTTAGTTCCACATCGTGTAGCGATGGTGGAAGAGCACAATCTATAAGGTGGGGGACAGTCCCACCTATCAGGCTAGTCTTTTGAGTTGAGTGAGGCCCAAAGGCCTTATATGTTGTCAGCTCCGGTGGATCTAGAACCTGTGGGAGCATAGGCTCGTGGTAACGAGCCGGACCGGCTACAAGTTAGCTCCAAGATCGAGAACTCAATGGTCACCACCGGTTTCAACAACTGGTATCGGAGCCCATGGTAAAAAAAAGCTAAACCCGATAAAAAATCTCGAACGTTACATATGGCGGGGGCACCCCGATGTGTAACTAAGGGAGAGATTGTTGGGGTTTAGTCCCACATTATATAACGATGGTGGGGAGTACAACATATAAGGCGGGAGAGACCCCCACCTATTAGGCTGTAGTCCAACCTATCAGGCTAGTCTTTTGGGTTGATTGAGGCCCAAAGGCCTTATATGTTGTCAACTCCAGTGGACTAGGACCTGTGGGAGCGTAGGCTCGTGGTAACGAGCCGGAACGGCTTCAAGCCAGCTCCAAGATTGAGAACTCGGTGGTCACCACCGGTTCCAATAATTGATATCGGAGCCCATGGTCAAAAAAAAGGCTAAACCCGATAAAAAATCTCGAACGTTACATATGGCGGGGGCACCGTGATGTGTGACTAAGGGGGAGATTATTGGGGTTTAGTCCCACATCGTGTAGCGATGGTAGGAGAGCACAACATATAAGGTGGGGCAGTCCCACCTATCATGCTAGTCTTTTGGGTTGAGTGAGGCCCAAATGCTTTATATGTTGTTAGCTCCTGTGGACCTGTGTGAGCACAGTCTCGTGGTAATGAGGCTGGGCGGCTGTAAGCCAGCTCCAAGACCGAATTCGGTGGTCACCGTCGATTCCAACAGTTGACGCGTTTGCCTCTTTGCTACTGGAAGGGGCCGTCGAATGCAGACAGTCCTGCGCATCATGGGCAAGGCATCCACGCGTCTTCTGTCTTGCAGCGATGATTTCTTCGTTGTAGTTGATCTCGCGAGAAGGTCACATCGACCTTCCCAAGTTGATATGTACCTTATGTGCTCTGGGTTGAACTACTGGAAAGTCTTCAGGAATGTGCCTATCCATCAATCCATGATGCTGATGGTGTCTCACATTTGTCCTGGTGGTCAACTGACGTGGTGTTACCCTGCCGCCTCACTTGATCTGGGTGGACTATTTCAGAGGGATGATTGTTGCCCACATCACACATCCAGGAAACGGCTCAACTGACCTGCAGGAGTCTGTTCTAAGATATGTGCCGCTTCCGGTGGATCCAGTTCAAGATAATCCTTATGACAATGACTATGGGCGAGGAATCGAGGATGCCCTGGAGCTTCCCGTAGTGTTTGTAACAACCACCATGGCATCAAGTTCGTCTTAGTTAACAAACATAGCAGCAGTTTCAGGCTTTCAGCATCACCCTGTGGTCCCTGTGCGAGGATGAAAAATGGAGAGAAGATGCAACAATGGATGCTGCCCAACTTTGGGACCTTGATTCTAAAAACTGCCTTCCAAAATTATAACCAGCATTTTCCTGTTGTCGACATGGAAAACCCTGACGCCATTTGCTTCTTGTTGAATGAGGGCCGATACACTGCTGAACCCTGTACCCCAACATGGATGATCAAGATTCACATGAAGAAGAAGATTCAACTAGATTTTACTGAATACTCCAGGAAAGGAATACCATCTTATCAGAAAACGTATACAACTGCTAGGAGTATGTCTGAGGGACTCTCCTTCATCTCCAGTGAAATGCCATGTTATCTGTCCGGACGAACCATGAAAAGGTAATCTCTGTGCGATTGCAATGAGAGGAAATAAACTATCAAATAGACAAAAAGTTATTAATCATTCATGAAAAACAAGAACGAAAATGGTACATTATTTAAGTTTTACACTTTCTATAAAATTTATAAGATCTATAATTTAATCTATGATGACCATGACCTCCGTAATTATAAGTAACGTTGGCAGTAATATGACAATGTCATATTAAGCTTGCATCAAATTAAAATGCAACATAGATATATTTTTTCGCCCATTGCAATGCATAAAAACATTTACTTTATAAATATCTCATAACTTTAATTTTTATACTATCCATTTGTTGGTACAGTAAAATGTTGAGGTGGTGACTTCCTCTGAGCACCCATAAAAATATGAAATTCTAATATATGACTGAAGTCGCTGAGAAGATAGTTATCAACATGTCAAGGATAAATTTGTCCATTGCTGGTTATGACGGAAGATCTCTTGATTTTCTACATGAGAACCATCGCTGAGGATTGCACTAGTACATGTATATAGCTTGGAGACACATTTATTTAGGTTTTATTTGGTTGAGCTTTTGAAAAGTGCTTCTGCTGCCTACAAAAAAAGGTGCTTCTGCTGCCAAAAAGCAGAAAGCCAACCAAACGGTGGAAAACTGCTACTTTCGTGTAATATAGTTTTGGAAGCACATTGAACCTTGCTTTTCGCTTCCTGCCGGTTCATGCGCCAACCCTGCAGTGATAGCCATGGATATCACTGTTGGTTGATGCTTTCATTCGACAATGATAGACTATTATCACTGTTGGGTTGCCCAACCGGCAGTGATAGGTCACCCCATCATTGCTGATCATCCTCTGCTGGCATGAATTCTAGCAATGATGGGTGATTCCGACCCGACAATGATCCATTGTTCTGGCGTAGCGTTATACCATTCACCCCTTAGGGGTAGTAGATAGGCACTAAGGCTTTGTTTGGTTTTGAAAGTTGAGTTGGCTAAAGTTAATGGCTAAACTTTAGATAATTTTGGCTTGCTCTAGACAGATGGTCTAATGTATCATCTAAAGTTAATTTAGCCAACTTAAAAAAATCATTTGTTAATTGGACCATACAAAATGAGTTAAAATGATCTAAGGGTAAGTGACTAAATTTTAGACCATAGCATTCGAACAGGCCTAACACTGATTGGACCGACGGCAAAAGCATTTCCACTCTAACCGCGCGTTGGACACACCAGTACCAAAGCATTGAAGCAGCCCACTGAGCCTCCAGCTCGGGCGCTCCTACTGGCTCGGCGATCAATTCATCGGATGCGCGCGGGCGACCAGGCGAATCCAGCGTTTCCGTGCGCGCAAGGGCACAGGGACTCACCAAGAGAGCAGCACGAAACGACCAGTGCCTGTGGTGCGCATCGTCGTCATTAGCGTACAGTCCGAAGGATATGTATGGCGTGGCGCCGTGTGGCGCGTGCTCACCGACACCGGCACCCGCGGCGCACCGCGCACCGAGCTAGGCAGCTAGCTAGTGATCAGCTTGCCACCATGTTCGCCGCGGACTGCCCATCGTGCGTTTACACTGCGCTTGCACAGTTGCAGAGCGGCAAGCCAGCAATGGTAGCGTACTAGCTAGCGTGGCTTGTTGCATCACGATCTCAAACGCCAGACCTGAAAACAACTAAACACTCTTGCAGACTGACAAAAGTACTTATATGATGGGAAACGTGAAACTTACCACGCACTTGTATATATATAAACATAATAAACGATCGTATCTAAACGTTCACAGGCGTTGAGATTTGTGCTAGGCGAAACCCTCTCTTACTGAGCACCAAATAAGGTGCCTAGATAACGTTTGGTTTGAGTTGGAACATGGACGAAGTAGTTTGTCCACTTTGTCCCGTGTTAAATTCTAGGACAGAGGGGACAAAGTCATCCCCAGAGAGGAATATTCCCTCTAAATCTGGGCTCTGTTATTCCAAAAATAAAAATAAAGGAGGAATGTTTCTTGGTTAATCATTGCTCAAAACTATTTGATGGAGATACGATGGACTAAATATCTCTGGTGTCTGTATGAGTTTAGCATGTTCAAGCATAGCGTGGAGTCCGATTCCGAAGTAAATTGGAATGTCAAGCGTTTTCCATGGTCCGCCACACTCTCCGTGTTGGTACGAGTTAGAGAATTGTGTTCAGGCATATGGTGCGGAGTCTGATTCTAAAACAAATTTGAACACATTATGTGATCAGTGGATAAATCTCTAGGCCTCCCATACATATATATATGAGTTATATCAACACACCTCAAGCATAATATGAAGTTTGATCACAAGACGAATTGAAAAGTATAACATGATTGTTAAATAAAACTTCAAATCATAAGTTCCATTGCAAGGCATGCACGCATGTGCTATGTTCGCCCCGTTCGCGTGCCCTTAAACCCGACTTGATCCGCTTCTTTTTTTCATCCGGAACAGTGTTTTTCTCTCACAAATTTCTCCAGCATTCCTCCAAACCATCCAAATTCCTCCTAGCGAACAGGCAATATTGGAGGTTCTCACCGATGATATAACACCTCCGTAATCACAGTGCACTCAACACCGAGCCACTCATCGATAGATCCTCACTGCAGCAGATTAACTCTCTTCGAGGCACTAATAAGTATGCTGTTAGATTTCATCATGCGTGCAAGGACATGAACTGTGCTGCATCAAAAACAATTGCACTTGCACCATCCAGTGCTGACATGCATCCTCGGCCACACGAACGCGCGTCGCACTGTCCTGATCATTATTATGTGACGACTAGGATTTATGTTAATGTGCTTATTAGGTTAGAATCCATACTTGCTATCTAGTATCTATGGACCTTTTGCTTAGTGTGAATCCTTGCTAAGGACAAGATTAGCTTGATGACCCTAAGGACTCAATAGATTGCCTTTGTAGAAGACCTTAGGAGCCAAGGTGGTGCGGGGCCGGGGTTTAGAGTTTACATAGGCTAAGATTGTTGATTTAAATTTTTAGGACACAGTCTCTCTCTTGGGTCATTTGGTCCTTAAGTGTGTGAGAGATGAGATGTAGGAGTGTTGCAACTCGAGAGATCCCTATACCAGAAGCCAATTAGGATTTGGCGGATGGGTTATTGTTTTTTCTGCTTTCACAACGCGTTAACGCAAAAACTAGTGCACGAAGACGAAATCGTTGCATTTGATCATTTTCCTGTGAGTATTGTGTCCACATACATATGTTTCCCATATATGTTTTTGAGAACCCACTGAAATATTAGTATCTTTATTTTCTTTTATAAGGTGCACACCCATATCAAAATTCAAACTTTAATATCTTTGACCAATAATTGGAATAACAATTTTTAATTATTACAACACAAACTTAATATAGTTAGATTTGTAATTAAATCTGCTATCCAATAATCATAAGTTTATAACTATAAATACTATAAAATAAAATAAATAGATGATCAAAGTGCAATTTAGGAGACTGTGTCATATTAAGTTATGTCTTATAAATAAAGAGAATGAAGGGAGTAATATCTCATCGTGTTTTCGTCAAGAAATAAACTAATTTCCCCATGGGTCTTTTAATTTTCCTGTGGGTTTTAAACAGTACCTAGAAGTTAATCTCTAACATTTCTATTCGCCAAAAAAAAGCTAAAAAAGTTTATATGTAGCTTTAAATGGAAACCTAAAACCAGTTATTTGAGGAAGTAGCCGATGATATTTTTTCTGTTTATACAGGCTAATCAGAGCGCACCATCATCACTGATGAGGCACTTATGGATCGTTCGTCACTGGAGCAGATGCAACACTAACGCTATGCGAGTCACTAATAAGCAATGCGCAGTAAGCCTCTACGGCCCTGTTCGCGCTTGTTTTATAATTCGTACTTTTCGATTTGTCTTTTCAGTTAGAATAGTATTTTTCTCTCACAACAAATCAGCTGGAACAATGTTTCAGTTTTTTTTTTACGAAGCGAACGGGGCCTATGCGTGCTGTGCAAGGACATGAACTGTGGCACCAAGCTATGTCGTCTATCGGTGCTGCATCAAAAGCAATTGCACTTGCACCATCTAGTGCTGCCATGCATTCTCGGCCACGCGAGCACCGGTATATACCGCACTGATTCCGATAGATCACCATACCTTCGATATTTCTTCCTCCACTCCAGTCCAGAGATGCGAAGATGCGCATGGCGAGCGATCGCCAGACCGCTATATAAACCCATCCATGGCTGCTCTATCACTCAGTACAATCTCAAGCCAGGCACACAGGACCAAAGACATCGATCATGGCTGCCTCGCCTTACCAGCAAGCTCTCGCTCTCCTGTGCGCCTGCCTGCTCCTGGCCGGCGCGGCGTCCGGCGGTCGCGTGGACGTGGAAGACATGCTGATGATGGACCGGTTCCGCGCGTGGCAGGCCGCGTACAACCGCTCGTACGGGACCGCCGCGGAGCGTCTGCGCCGGTTCGAGGTGTACCGCCAGAACATGGAGCTCATCGAGGCCACGAACCGGCGCGGCCTCCCGTACCAGCTCGGCGAGACCCCGTTCACGGACCTCACCAGCGAGGAGTTCCTCGCCACGCACACCATGCCGCGCCTGCGCGCGCCCGACGCCGCCGCCGCGCGGCACCGGGAGCTCATCACAACGCGCGCTGGCCCCGTCAGCGACGGCGGTCGTCGCCACTGGAACTGGAACTCCACGACGGACCTCGACGTCCCCGAAAGCGTGGACTGGAGGACCAAGGGCGCGGTGACGCCGGTCAAGGACCAAGGACCTTGTGGTAAACAATACTCGTAGAAAAATATTTACCAATCACCGTATCACACGCATATTCCTACAACGTATACGGGACAAAAAAAACACACACTGTCATGATAGATGATCGACGACGATGCCCCTCTCCTTGCAGGCAGTTGTTGGGCATTCGCGACGGTGGCGTCGATCGAAGGCCTGCACAAGATAAGGACGGGCCAGCTCGTCTCCCTATCGGAGCAGGAGCTCGTGGACTGCTCGAGGTCCCCGCCCAACAATGGCTGCGACGGCGGCGACCCTGGGGCTGCCATGGACTGGGTGGCCGCTAACGGCGGCCTCACCACCGAGTCCGATTACCCGTACTACCCGCCCGACGGGCAGCAGGGCAAATGCAAGCCCGACAAGGTGCACAACCACGTCGCCAAGATCAGAGGCAGGAAGTTGGTGGATCAAAACAACGAAGCAGCGCTGGAGGTCGCCGTGGCGCAGCAGCCTGTTGCCGTGGACATAAATTCAGAAACCCTCCAGCACTACAACGGCGGGGTGATCAATGGCCCCTGCGACCCTGACAAGACCGACCATGGCGTCACGGTGGTCGGGTACGGTGCCGAATCCGGCGGCCACAAGTACTGGATCGTCAAGAACTCGTGGGGCGAAAACTGGGGCGAGAAGGGATACTTTCGCCTCGAGAGGCGCATCAAGGACAACAGAGGCACGTGCGGTATAGCCACATGGGCAAACTACCCGGTGATGTGAGCTCCCGCCCGTCCGTCACCGCCGTGCTTACTTGCCTGGTCGATCGTATACTCGTATGGATGATTAACTATATATAGTACTGTACGTCGCCTTGCTTCCTGCACATGCGCAGCGCAAACCTATATCGGTGCAGAAGTCAGCTTGAAGAACAGGCTGAAATAAACTCGACGCGGCCAGTAATCAGTACAGCGTCGTCGTCGTCATTTGCCAATGTTATGTATAATCTCATAAAAACTATTATGTGTCTGTGCTAAATAGAATGTCCCCTACTTTAATTATAACTAGCAAATTTAGATACCCCCTACTTTAACTAACAAATTTATCCGTGCATTACAATGAAGCCTAATTATGTTCGGCATGGATTCTAATTAATAGAATAAATGGATGATATGATACCAAATAACACTGAACTACGTATATAATACTCTTTGCATTCCAAATCATAAGTTATTCTAGCTTTTTTGATATATAACTTTTGCTACGTACCTCGATACAAATTATGGCTAGATACTAGAAAAGCCAGAACGACTTACAATTTAGGATGGAGAGAATATTAAGTTACTACCATCATTTTTCAATGGTGCATTATACAAATACTAAAACCGACCATGCTGATCTTAACTTGCGCAATTAATACAATGGATGGAATATTCAACAACACTGTTCGGTTGAGATTATACTGTTAAATGGCCAAGTTTCTCCATAATTCTGTAAATCTTGTCTAGCAAAACCAAGAATCACTTCTCCTAAAAAAACAAGAATCACAATGGGAAAAAATGGAAAAATACCCCATCTTGTGGCGTGCCTTCTAACACTTCCCTCCGATCATAAATTTTGTCCATGCATTCTAATAGAGCATACAACTTAACTTATTATGCGTAGTACTACAAAATTTATTTTTGGATATTAGTACTTTCGTTTATGGAGGTGTCACATTTATATCACTGTCTTTCATAATAGAGATCCATTTTCAAAGACCCACATGCCATTTACAGAGGTGGAGGAATCGGTGTAACCCGTCTCCTAGAAACCGGGTAAGCCAGGTTTATCTGATAGCACTCTAACGCTAGTTTTTGTGTATATCCTATATATAGCTCTCCCTTTCCCTTGTGTTGGCTGCTGTTGCTCCCCATTGCCATACACGACCAGAAGCCCTTGGCTACTCCCAAACCTCCCTTTGCGGGTCATAGAGATTAGAGAAGTGAAAATTCTTAGTTTGGAGAGTGTGCTTTGTTTTGTGAGAAGCCTAAGTGGTATTAGAGAGCCTGAGAGACATTATGTGATGAGATGTCAAACCCTTTGACCACTTGACCAAGTTGAGCTTTCGGTTGATTGCATTTTGTTACTGTTGGAGCTTTTCTTGTAGGTACGGTGGCTAGGTGACGCCGGCAAGTACCTAAGGTTGTGGGTGGCTGTAGGAAGTTTGTGAGGGCTGCAATCTTACCCCTAAAAGGGAAAATATCACCTAGTAGAGGCGTGGAAAGTGATTGAATGAAACCTGGCTAGAGCTCGTCCATGAAGGTCATTCACGGCTTCCACAATAGAGATGCAGGATCCAGTGGGGATCTGAATACTAGGAAATACATTGTTGCATTTTTATTTGGTTTGCCTCACATTTTGTATTTACATTGCCTATTTATTATCCTTCCGCTTGTGTCAACTTGAGTTCCGTGTGTGTTTGTGACTACACGGGCTGTGTGAATATGTTGATAGACTCACAAAGAAGCCACAAACCAAGTTTGTGTTGACGTGAAAGAGGCAAAGAGGGCTCTAACTATTTTTCTTTAATTTGGAACTTAGGAAAAACCGGCTAGGCCAGTATAGGAACCCGGCTAAGCCGGGTTGGACACTGTGGTGTGTCAAACAGCCAAAACTAGTTAGGCTGGGTTATTGCAAAGCCGGTTAGGCCAGGTTTAATTGTGTGTGTTGTTTATATTTTTTTAATTGTTAATATTTGTTGAAAAGTTTTGTAGAGCCTATTCAACCCTCTCCTCCTCTAGGCATCAAGTTGGTCCTTGTCGATGCGGGACCCATAAGGTTCCCCACGGTGAAGAGAGAAGAAGACTTAGTCCAAATAGGATTCTCCTCATGTAATCCTACTAGAACTAGTACACATAATCCTACTAGGATCTCTACTTTGTAACCGACTAGGACTCCCGCCTCTCCTGGACTATATAAAGGAGGGCAGAGGTCCCTAGATCGGCAGACCTATCTAGACCTACACGTAAGCGACAGACATAACCGACAGACCTCGCAACACCACAACAAATAGCGCAGGGCGCAATATACTATCCACCCCACATGGGCGTAGAGGCGCGTGATTTTTTTCCGGCGCATCAACCCGATATAAATCGTTGTCTCCCTGCGTTTACCATCGAGTTCCTACAAACGCCGATACCCCTCCGAACAAATCACCGTCCCGGGTACCCCGTGACGGGTTGCCGGTGGTAAAACATCGACAGTCCTTTCTAAGCAAAATATTTTTATGAAACCTCCTATAAGTTAGCACAACTAGAATATAGAGAACTTGTAGACTTTGCTAGGCTAGATGCCTAGATCTGAACAAAGATGTTTAGTGAACTTTAAGACTTCATGCAACATATGAGTTGAAAACTTTGATGTATATATATAGTATATTTGATGTATATGATGGATGACTATGGTAGAATGAAGTAAGTATTTGTGTTTGTAGATACATGCATGAAAATATAATTCCATGTGACGTATATTTGCTATGTTGTTAGAATTAGCTATGATGTCTATTTGAATTTAAATGTGATAAGTTTAATAGTAACTAGCAGGTAACCCCGCGCTTCGCGCGGGCAACAGTGGACGCTGTGAGGGAAAAAAAAAAGGTGGTACTGTTCCTTATTGGGGCGGGTACTGTTCATCTGATTTATTACTGTTCACCTACAGGGAGCTGAATCAGGGGCGCGGCCGATGAATAGTAACTACGACATGACCCACCTCAAATTTATAGCCTTTTATAGATAGATATAGCCAGAAGCATTTGACTTTTTCTTTAAAAAAATATTTGTACATGAGGTTCATTTTACTTGACTGTCTCTAGAATTCATTTAATACTTATGACTTATGAGAGGCAGTTTTATTATATAAACCTCCTGTGTAAAATGTTTACACATGCGATTATCTTAAGTTTATATGTGGATGTCTATGGCCTGGATGTCTATGGCCTACCGCCAACGTAAATGGATTTACATACGCGGCTCTCAAGCTGACGATAATGCAATGTTATCATTTTTATTGGCCTTTCATACCGGCGGCTCATGAAACCACCAACAAAGATGCAAAACCTACCACCGAAAAAAAAACCTTTTCTATACTAATGATGAAAACATGTTATTAGAACCTATAAAAAAGTGAATCATTCCAAATAATTCTAATAACACTCTTCAACAACAACATATGTGAATTCAGAAAGATTAATTTATGGTACATAAAACATATGATAACAAAGAAATTAGAATAATTTGCATATACGATAACAAAAACCTTTTCAGAAAAGAGATACAACCTTTTTCCAACTAGATCAAATGTTAGCATAAAGTTCACAAACACATTATAATATAACCACCTCATAAATATTTTTCTAGCACCCTAGTGGGTCTTGAACGTGCAAGAACATGCCAGAGGGGGTGGAGAGCCACTATGGTTGTGAGTTGTAATGAACCTATGCCTCTGGCAGTGGTGAGCCAATGACACTTGCTCAACACCGAATAACAACCAACTGGGACGCCCTATACCATTATATTGCTACCAGCGCGCTCTGGCTTCGCCATGGCTCCGTTTTCACAAACATTCTTCTAGTAGCTCTGGTGCACCATCTTGACTACAAACATACGGTGTATATGGGCAGCTTTCTTTCACATAGAGCATATATTGAGACTATACAAAAATGGTGAACCAATTTGTGGGACTACAAGCGGTCGGCACATGCAGGGGTCACTGCCATGTGGTAGTTTGAACTGACAGTGATAGGTGCTTTCATTGTTGGGTGAAAATTTTCTCCAGAATTTTCTAGATTCTAGGCTTACAAACAGGCAATGAAAAACAATAGCTGCGACTCCAGCACAACCCACAGTGATGCACGGGCACTAATTGCCTGTTTTGACATAGTGTCTTATCAGAATTGGGCAAGACAACGAAAGAATTCAATTAAAAAAGGCTAATAATACCCCGTCCCAAAAATAATGCAATTCCATGCGCATTCTTGGTTAAAGTGCCTAGAGCTTGACCAAATACATAGTTCAAATATTCATGTTTATGATGGTAAATAGGTATATTATCAAAATATGTTTGATGACGAATCTAATGGTGACTACTTAGTACAATAAATGTTAGTATTTTTTATATAAACTTGGTCAATCTTGACATACTTTAACATAGTACTATTTTAAAATTGCATCCTTTTTAGGACGGAGGGAGTAGAATTTGATTGAATTATAAGTTGATGGAATGGCAAAATAAATAGCATTATATGGATGCCATCTATATCTATATCTAACTATATCTATATCTATATCTCTTATAATTCTAAATCTCACTAGCTATATATCTCAACATACAAGCTGTCCACCTCAGCAATGTACTATCACATGCACTTAAAATCCACTAGCACGTGCAATTGTAATGTCCACATTAACAAGACACACAAGCATTTCGTTGTCCATGTCAACATGCCATGAAATCCACTAATCCGCAATTCTCACAACAACACGCAAGGTATGCTTCTTGTTTCTTATATATTGAAAGTAGTAATTACGCTTAGTGGAGATGATGTGAATAGCTTTTATTATAGGTTGGAAATTAGTGAGATGACATGACTATCAGAGGAAGATGGTGGGATAGTGTGAGAGATGATGTGGATGGATTGTTTTCGTGAAGAGGTTGGAAGTTAGTGGGATAACATGGTTATTGATGGGAGATGACGTGGATAGTTAGTGGAGATGATATGGATGGCTTGCTTTTATAAAAAGGCTGAAAGTTAGTAATTTTGTTTAGTGAAGATGACGTGAAAAGCTTTCATTAAGAGGTTGAAAGTTAGTGCAATAACATGACTATTAGTGGGAGATGATGTGGAAAGTTAGTGGAAGATGATATGGATGGTTTGCTTTCATTAAAAGTTTGAAAATTAGTGAAATGACATGACTATTAGTGGGAAATGATATGGATATAGATACATAGATATAGAATACCTACATGGCTACATGCCCCAACTCTCCCACTATATATATCTGCAAGTACATCATCCCAATTCACAATGCCAACAACCCATCCATCCTTTTAGCTGTTGATACAAAAGAGAAGACAATGGCCGAGCCAAACCCAGAGTTCAGTGATCTTATTACGCAAACAAAGAAAAGAATAGTACCAAGGTTCACTGAAACCTTCAACGTGGATGACGTGAACTACACTTACGGCTCCTTCATTGCCTGGGCCCGGAAAGAAGTGATCAAATACTGCACCGACCATAAAGGCATACTCCAGCCTGTGCTGCCGCCGGAGAAGAAGGTCCCCGATCTCTGGCTCCACATCGAGATCAAAACCAAAACCAGCTCCATCACGCTCGCCATACGCATGGACAACCTCTACCTCGTCGGCTTCAGGACCCCGGCCGGTGTGTGGTGGGAGTTCGGCAAGAACGGCGACATCCACCTCCTCGACGACAACCCGAGGTGGCTCGGCTTTGGCGGCCGGTACCAGGACCTCATCGGCAATAAGGGTCTGGAGATCATCACCTCGGGCCGTGCCGAAATGACCAGAGCCGTCAACGACCTGGCGAAGAAGACGACGATGACATTAGAGTAGGAGGAGGAGGAGGAGCTGCTGATGCTGCAGGATGCTGATCTGGCAGCGGTGGTTGACCCGCAAGCTGACACGAAGAGCAAACTGGCGAAGCTGGTGGTCATGGTGTGCGAGGGGATCCGGTTCATCGCTGTGTCCCTCACGGTAGAAGCGGGGTTCAACAACCAGCCAGGGGTGACCTTAAGCCAGATGCAGGGGAAGCAGGTGCAGAAATGGGACAGGATCTCGAAAGCTGCCTTCGACTGGGCTAAAAACCAGAACGCTGTGATCCCCGACATGCAGAAGCTTGGCATCAACAATAACAACGATGCTGCGAGGATCGTTGCGCTCGTTACTGCTACTACTAGTGCTACATATGAGAACAGCGAGGTCTGATGATCGACACATCATGACTTGCCGTGTTGTACTCCTATATATGCATACCGTGGGTGCTACTACTATGTTTCTATACAAATAAATACACCCCGCGTACGTGGTGTTCCTTGTAGGCCTCTAATAAGAAATATCTAAATAAAATCCAGCATGCTCCCCATGATGTGGTGGTTTAAATTTGAGATTCAATTTGTATTTGTCGTGCTTAAATTTGATAAATTTATTGTGGTTGAAATCTATGCATTTGAAATTGAATTGTAAGGTGAAATGATGAAAATGCAGGGTCAATATGTTGAAATTAGAGAGGACAAAAAAGAATATGGGCCGAGATTTAGGGTGTGTTAAAAATGACAGCTAGAAACCAAGGCCTAAAAAAACATAGGAGCCCCTACTTAGATAAGTAGGAGGCTGGTTTAGGGGATTAGCGTATTGCTGGACATGCTCTAACCAAGAGTTCAGAGTGCAGGCAACGACGTAACGCACGCTTCACTATATACAGTGCCACACTGCCACTACTATATGGTTGCACTAACTCTTAACAGCACAACTAAAACTGTGGCTGCCATGAACTTCGCGTGCGTCTTATCCTTAACTAAAATCGGACCACTGAACCTAATTAACAGACGGTCTCTCATCCGGGAGGTACGTCGTCGGTGTGAACTGTAAAGCTAGCAGAGATGCAAAAATTTGCATTGCATCATCATCTGGAAGGACGTGTACCGGCACCATGCCGCTTGCGTTGCTCCTTAAGATGCTGCGGCCATTTCTCGTCGACCGGCCGGAGCAGCAAAGCGAACACGTACCCCCGACGCCGTGATCCTAGTCTCTGACGATCGATGCGACGCCAGGATGCGCGTCGTGATCGATCGCCTCGCCACGCCCGTTATTAAGCCCACAGCTTTGGCTGCTCTCCAGACTCCAAGCAAGCAACTTTCACGGCCAGAGATACCAGCTGGAGCATCGGGCCACATCGATCGACTGTATTGTACGTGTTCATCATGGGTGCCGCCTCACGTTGTCTAGCCCTCGCCCTCCTGTGCACCAGCTTCCTGTTGGCCAGCGCCGCGGCGTCCAGCGAAATGCTCATGATGACGAACCGGTTCCACGCTTGGCGCGCCGCGCACAACCGGACCTACGCGACCGCCGCGGAGCACCAGCGGCGGTTCAAGGTGTACCGTCGGAACGTGGAGTACATCGAGGCCACGAACCGGCGCGGCGGGCTCTCGTACCAGCTCGGTGAGAACCAGTTCACCGACCTCACGTGCGACGAGTTCCTGGCCGCGTACACCATGCCGCCCGGGCAGGTGCTCGCGGCCCGCGACGAGGCCGTGACGCGGCAGCTCGACGCCGCCACGCGTCGCAACAGCAGCTACACGGGCGACGCCTTCGGCCAGGTTCCCTACAGCGTCGACTGGAGGGCCTGGGGTGCTGTGACTCCCATCAAGCACCAAATGACCTGTGGTACGTACGTCAGCAAAAGATGATGCCTTGTCCACGTGCCATGAACATGATAAATATGCATTTGTATCCAGCATCCTCGTGACATGTCCTTGCACTGCAGGCTCTTGCTGGGCGTTCGCCGCGGTGGCGTCGATCGAGAGCCTGTACAAGCTGCGGACGGGCCGTCTCGTCTCCCTGTCGGAGCAGGAGCTCGTGGACTGCGCCTCCCCGCCCAACGACGGATGCGGCAGCGGCGATCCCGCGACGACCATGTGGTGGGTCGCCCGCAACGGCGGCCTCGCCACCGTGTGGGAGTACCCCTACGAGAGCAAGCAGGGGCAGTGCAGGCGCGGCAGGATCCGCATGGGCAGGATCCGCGGCGGCGCGGCTGTTCCTCCCAACAGCGAGGCCGCGCTGGAGCGCGCCGTGGCGCAGCAGCCGGTCGTCGTGTCCATCAACGCCGTCACCTTCCAGCACTACGAGGGCGGGGTGCTGTCGGGCCCCTGCGACGCCGGAATCAACCACGCCGTCACAGTGGTCGGGTACGGCGCCGACGCCAGCGACCACAAGTACTGGATCGTCAAGAACGCGTGGGGCGAGAATGGGTACGTGCGCATGGAGAGGCGCGTCGGGGTCAGGGAAGGCTTGTGCGGAATCGCCAGCAGGCCGTCCTACCCGGTGATGTGAGCTCAACTTGGACTTGGATAAGAGGCTCAAATAAACTGCAAATCGGCGAGCGAGATGCTTCACTTTCGCCGGTGTGCACTGCACTTCAGCAGGAAACCCTCGAGGCCATATGCCAACGCAATGAAAACTTAGAAATCAGTATGAGTTGTACGTGGTGTCGTCGAAGAGATTGTTGTAGTACGAAGGGGAACCTCGTTGTCTGGTCTAAAATACTCTCGACACCTCAATAGTTTCAACTGCAGGAGTTCATCAGAGATGTAAAAATGGAACCATGTTTGCAGAACTGCACTGCACTCGACGGCAGCACACCAACCCCCTGCTCCAGCGAGAACCAAATTCTACCACGTATTCCTAGGCGATAACTCTTTCTCCGCTGGCAGCTGCAGCACTTCGCGGATACCTTCACATACCTGCGTGGGGAATTACCAATGGCTAAGCAGTAGGGCACAGTAATATCTGGATTTAAGCAGATAACGGCATATGCAAGAACCCCTATCATTTACTCCATTCCAAATTATAAGATGTTTTGACCTTTCTAGATTCATATCTTTTGTTATGCACTTAGATATACACTATGTTAAATACTCCCTCCATCCCAAATTGTAAGTCATTCCAAGAATCTTGGAGAGTCAAACTTTTTCAAGTTTGACTAAAATTATAGAAAGAAACACAAAGATTGATGACATCAAATAGGTATAATATGAAAATATAACTAATGAAGAATCTAATGATACTTACTTGGTATGATAAATATTATTATTTTGTTATATAAATTTGGTCAAATTTGAAAAACTTTGACTCTCCAAGATTCTTGGAATGACTTACAATTTGGGATGGAGAGAGTACATAGTAAAAGTAGCGTATCTAAAAAGACCAAAATGTCTTATAATTTGGAACAGAGGGAGTATGATCTATGACATAATGGAACACCTAGACAATTATAATACATTGCACATACCAATTTGATTTGTGCTTTTAGGCCTGCGATGAGATGTGTGTATTCATCTATTTGCCTGCAAAGTGCAAGATTTCCAAGGTTAAAATCTGGACAAATGTTGCTTCAGGGACATCTAAACATGTATATAACATGATTAGAGTATTTAACCATGAAACTTTCTAAAATGAAACATCAACCTATCGATAAATTTTAGTCATGGGAACCCAAAAATGCAAAAGGAAAGTGTTCGACCATAAATGAAACAAACACAGGATCACAGGATCAGGCAAAGAGATAAAACAATAATGCTAGCGGTCAAGCTTAAACAGTGAAGCTTCTCTCTAAGAAGCCTGATGTGTTTCAAGAGTATAATGTGATGACTTCTGGAATCAGACTCCAGGGTACACAAATATGAACAATCACTTCAGAAGATCTGCTTAGATTCAGTGGCTAACTTGCTATTGAAATTCAACAGAAAGATGTCTCTTCCATCGCGTAACAAGATACATTAGCACTAACAAGACCATCAAATCTGTGATTATATCCTTTGAGCAAACTGATGTCCAACAAAACCTCTGCAGTCAACGCTTAGACTATACTATGACGGATGAGTTGTATAAACTAGAGGGTTTAGAGATCAATAGAACAATCCCAGACCAGGCTAAAAGAGCATAGGCAACATAACTATTCAACTGTGGACCTGCATTTCACTGTAGCATAGTGTATTAGTGGTTTTGATATGACTATACTTTTATCCTGATAAATGCAGCACTGACCATTCCCCCAGAGCATGTGAAACTATTGATCTCCAAATACCAATAATGACCATACAAACAAGCAACTGAATGCTTTTGTTATTTAGAAAAGCGGAGTAGCTTTTACCAATAATGTTGTCATACCAATCTCTACCTAACATTAAAAGGAGTAATTTTCTCCCTCCTTTTTCTTCGTCCATCATTCATCTCCTCCCACATGTGGAAAAAACCAGTTGGAAGAAAAAAATGAATGGAAGAAAACTAAGAAATCCGAAGTTCAGAAGGGAAACTGTCCGCCTAAATAATAAAACGAAGAAACTAAGAAACATGAAGAAGAAAAACTGTCCGTCTCTCAATTGCAATTTTTTCCATCCTGATCTCCATGTGTTCCCACCTACTCCAATTGTGTTCTCACGGATCACGTCTATCTAACAAAAAAAACAGCTTCAACTTCAAAGCCAGAACAGAAATCAGATCAGATCACAAATCTTCCATCAATCTTGGCTCATCCCGTCCGTGGCTCCTCCCATCCTCGACGCAGACTGCCATATTCCCTCCCCTCACGCGATCCCAGCAGATCACCATGAACTGGATCAGGTGGCAGCTTTCTTCAGTTCAACAGCTTCTGCCCGTGAACATGCTTCCAAGATTAATGGGAAATGGGAGGAGGCCTGCATATGTCCCCCACTCCCCCTAACAGCTAGCGTGGTTCATCCGTTGGGTGAGTGTGTTTCCAAGTCTATGCAAGCCTCTGTTCTTCACCCAAACTACTTACTGGACACACTTTTACAAAAATGGCATAGAAAGATATATAACGGACACACTTTTACAAAAAAATCACATTTACCCTCATAAGGTGACAATGTATCCATATGGATTCGCTTATAGCAACACATGGGCATATTTGTCAAAGGCACAAGTAACATGTCACAACCAGCTCTATGATATGCTGCACATTCTACGGATGATGTCTGATGAAGACAAGCTCCAACAAAACTAAATATGTACATTTATTAGATGCTCCCAAGTCCCAAATCATAATTTTTTACCAGGATTTAGAGCTAATATAGCAATATCTGCATCCACATTTTTTTCTTTTATTTGCATCTGCTTTTTTTCATTTGGAGCTAAAATCTGCATTTCCTACTAGAAAAACTCACAAGTTATTATCTTTTTTTGGGTGTCAAGCACCGTATTGACCAGCAAGCACAAAATACCAGAATCTTTCCCAGGCCTCAACAATCAATATTATTTTTGAAAACTCACTTTAACAGAACAGAATGCTGCATCGAAAAAATATATCATACTAAAAAATTCGATCAGAATTGACTTACCTAGTCAACCTTGCCTCTCTTACAGATATGAACTGCAAAGCTTCTTGCCAAGTAAATTCCACATGAAAACCTAGACCAATATCCACAAAAATATGCCTTGTGTCCGGTCTACAGAAATCATCACACAACAAGGAACATTTAGATCTCAGCAGTTCATGAAATCTGATTATAGGCATATATAGAAAGACTTTATCACCCATGTTTCAAGAGAAGCGACATTGTTAGTTCCTTATTAAGTTTTCTCAACTATTCCAACTTTACGAACCTAAATAACAGCTTGTTAAAGAAAATAAGGTAAGACTGAAGTTAAAAGTAAAAACTAGCTTGAGAGCATATCAAGATGAGAAAGTTCCAAGTTTGCTTCCTGTATTATAACCTACAAATCAATGACCACAATTGCAAAACTAATCTGCTCGTTATACAGTCTCTTTTCCATATGTGTAAACAGCCAAACACCTATTTTTAGACCAGGGCAATCACCGTAAACACTATTTCTAATTTTCAGTCAGAAATAAAAGTAAGTCATATTTCAGACCTTTTGCATGTTTAGGGTATACCAGATATTTCAACTGAAAATCTCAATCTATTTGATTGGGTAATGTAAACACTGTAAGCATTCTCTTGGTTGGTTGAGAATTGGTGAAGGGGCAAGGCTTACACTTCTGCTTGCATGTACACCTCGGAGCCAAGATTGACCATGGACCGCATGCTGGTAACACCATTCCTCTCCAAATTTTCAATGTTCCTCTTCAAATCCAAGCTGATCAGCATCCAGAAAAGCGCCATCATCAGAACAAGTTGCAACAGACAAAGCTAATATACTACAAATAGGACCTGCAAATGTCCTACCACCAGAACCATGGAAAATTGGAATCAATTGACAGAAGAAAGTTCAGTGGGACTTACAAGGTCTTCTGCTGCTCGAACACCTTGTCACGCTGTGCGATGGCGTTAGCAAGGTCGGGTTTCAACCGCTGGTCCACGAACTCCTCGAACTTTCTCACTTTCTCCTGCCGCGCCCACGCCTCTGCTGCAGCCATGGCCTGGCTAGTAGTAGTGGGACCAGGATTTTAACAGGATAGGCCTGTTCGGTATATTCAATACACAATATCACAACAAAATATTAATCCTATTCAGTATCATGATTGCAATCTATTATATTACATCCTACTGCTAAAGCAAAAGAATAGAATGAATAATGCGGGGCAATTTGATGTTTCATGGTGCATTTCCTAGAAGAAGATACACAGAACTTACTAGTAGGACATATGATGATAACCGCAAACCCAACTGGTCTATCAGTCAATGGGATTTTACATTGCCAAATACAAATAGGCAAGTAGTACAAGTTACCAAGCACCGAACAAGCGAGGAAATAGCTGAAAAGTACTAACCCTTTGTTCCCACGATGGATGCTCTCGACAACCTCCTTGACTCCCCGCTTCACGGGCTGCAAAATCGCCCAGAATCGAATCACGACCGGAAGGGAAGAAACCGGTTTAAACCGAAAATAGTGCGAGGAAGGAATTGTAATAAACCTCAGCGCACTAGCTTGAGGGTTCACTGGCAGAGCTTTTGGCCGATGAAGAGCTTCGTGATGGGCGCCAGCACCACCGGGTTGGTCTTCCGGGCGGGGCGTCGGCTCGTCCTAGAGAACGCACCGTACACATGTACACCCGATAATTTTTGCGAAAAATTGCAAGTTGGTAAGCATCGATCAATCAAATAGCCAAATACGTAGATAGTAGCTTTTAAGTTAGAGGGTGCACGGTTTCGCACAACAGGCAAGGAAGAGAAGGGGTGAGAATACCTAGTGAGAGCTCGTCGCCGACGAAGGCCTCGGCACCTGGCGTAGCGGCGGCGCCGCGGCGGGGAGAGAGAGAGGGCACGCGGGGTGAAGAACGGATGCGGCAGACAGGCCCAGCAGGTTCGGCCCAGGCGGCGAAGCGGCCCCGCACGGGCCTACTTATCGTGACAACTGACAAGGGACTGAGAGAAATACCAGCTTTTGAATATAGACGGATTGAGGAAGGGCCACCCTCGGACTCTCGGAGGGCGATGGGAGATGTGGTTGTTGGCTGCCGCCGCAGCCCGCAGCTCGGCTGCTCCCACCCTGTACGCCTTGCGCCCTTGCCGGTGGCCGTAGCCCGTAGCGGCGTAGTGCTGCCGCTTGCCGCAAGCGCACGAATCGCCCAGGGCCACGCCGCGCGTGGGTGCAGATGGGCGGGACGGCGAACTGGCGGCGAGAGACTTGACGAGGAGGAGCCGAGGAGGTCTGGCCGTCCGGCGGCGGGCGGCCGGAGGCGGCAGACGAGCCACGACCCACGCGCCGGCGAAGCGAACTCCCGTGCGTGCGCCGTGCGGGCAGTAGCAGGTACTTTTAGTCCCTTTATTGCTGGGCCTAATGTCTGTGGGGTGTAAAGGGACTGGTTTAGCCCAGGAACCATCATACGAAGTGTTACTGGGCCATGGCCGAGGTCCTAAAGCCCTAGTCCCAGGTCCGCCCTTGCTTCCGATGGTTCCTGGGCTAAACCAGTCTCCATTAGCGCGTCGCGTGGTGCTAGGAGCATTTTCTTATGTTCATGTTTTGCCAAACTCACCAGTCAACAGATCATCCACTCAAAAAAAAACAGTCAACAGATCTTTGCCATTTTGTGCCTGTAATTGTGTAGTGTGGCCTACTGGAAAAAATGTCAAACGCACCTGGTGAGAAATAAATGAGTAAATAAAATTATAAATCCTTAGTGCTGCTTTTCATAAATACTGTGTCAATTTAAATTGTACTCTGTAAAAGTTTTGTATCTTCAACAATGTTATTTTTCTTGGTTTCCTTGGATTACTCACATAACAATCACATTAATGGAGTAGGCTTATTGCAGAAAGATGTTGCTAACTTTGACTGTTATGTTTTCATAGTAAATGGTAAAGTTACATGACAGAGACTGAAGAGCTAAAACATCTAGAATTTTCCACTGAGGGGGCTAACTAACAAAATCACCTGCTGGATACACTGATGGAACAAACTTCTTTCGGGAAGTCCTTAGCACAACAATATTTTTATCTGAATCAAAGTCTTCCAATGTAGAGTTAATGAACATGGACTCAAGCATGATGAGAGACAGTTCGCCATTCAGCTCTAGATGAATTAACTCAACAATCATTAGGACTATGCAATTTCAAATATTTCGCACCCCTTGTTGTTTGTGGTCAGGCTAAACGGTTCCTTAGTGTATAATGCATACCATCCTTTACAGTCGCCTCCTTTGGGAGCATATGCTTTAACATTTTGGATATTCTTGATCTTGCACCACTCTGAACCTTCTTGCAGGATTATTAGTTTAAAGAGTTCTTCGTTACAGAAAACCTCTAGTTTTGCAGCACTGGTTTCTTTCAAGTACTGTGGAAACAATTCTGCACCATAGTCCTGCAATGTAATGCTTTGCAGTTCTGTTAAACCCATGAGTACATTCAACTTGGGGCATTGGATAACCGAAAGTCTTCGTAGTTTAGGGAGATTAGCAATCATTTCGAGCTTTGGGTTGGCATAGAGATGCAGATCGCTGAGGAGGAGGAAGTTTGCGACAGATGTCAAGTTGCAAGCTTCAGATATGATCAATTCTTTCAAGGCCCTGGTTTGATGCACAAGCCCCGGGGGGAAATACTTCAACTTGCATTTTGTGATCTTCAGAGAAAAGATGTTCGGCATTGCCTGCTCAAGTTCCTTGTCCCATATCCATTCTTCCCATCCATCCAACCTATCAAATCCAAGTTTCTCCAGCCTTGGGAACAACATCTGTTGGTTCATCTGTGTAACATTGCTGCTGCAAAAAAATTCATGTCCAATTCTCGTAATAGATGGCGCATGTTTGATCAGCAGGAAATCTAAACTCAGGAGATGGCCCAATGCAGGGAGCTGCTCACAATAGGTACAATCTTCGAGTTTTATTGATCTTAGGTACTTAAGAGCCATCTTACCTGAGCTCATCCATTTAGGAAGTTGATGTCCAAAAAATCCAACTAGTGAGAGGTTTTCGAGGCAAGCCGGTGGACACAGCTCTTCAAAGACATCCTCAATTTGATGTTTCTCCTGCTGTATGTTATCTTTGATCTGACTTCCACTACCAATTCTTGTTGTGCACTCCAAGCTTAAGTATCTAAGGTGGCGCTTGCCTTGAAGGTTTGCTTTCTTAGCCACGGAGCTAGTCCGTGCTTTCTCTAGGTTGCTTAGATACAAGAGGCTGAGTTGGGACAGGTGTCCTAGCTCTTCCAGACTGTTCCAACCTGTAGTATCATCATTTTGTGTTAAAAAACCAGTTAACTCAACAAGATTTTCTAGTTTCCCTATCCCCTTGGGGATTTCATTCACATTGGCCCCCTTGATGTGAAGAGCTCTCAACTTATGCAGCCTCACTATGCTCCCAGGAAGACTGAACAAATTTATACAATTTATCAGACCAATATATTGCAGATATTTCAAGTCTCCAATCGAGTCTGGGATTGTATTTATCATGGTACCAGACAGCTCCAAGTATCTTAAATGCTTCAGATCAGACAAAGAAGGCGGCAAGGTTGTGAGGTTTACACCCCCGAGATGTAGTACTCGTAGCTTAGGCAGGTCATGCAAAAACTTATCCAGCTCAACTGTGGTGCTTCGGAGTATCATCAGTGCTCTTAGTTGCTTCTGATTATTGAAGGTACTTGGGAGCACATTTTCGGTTGCTACGGACAGCCGACGCAGCTTAGTTTTTGTCTTCATGTTGCATAAAGTTTGGCCCTGTGTAAGAACTAATGCTTCATCTTTTGCCAAGTAATTGGCAAATGATCGAAGAAGATCATGCATTGTGCATCCTGATTGATCATAATATTGGTCATCAGGCTCAAGTAGGTTACGCATGACTAATTCTTTGTAATACATGTTTCCTACATCTTCAAGTAGTGTTGAGGTTCCTCCATCATCTTGTACAAATCCCTCAGCGATCCACATTTGAACAACATCCACCCGTTTGATAACTTCGTCTTTTGGAAAAAGGGAGCAGTGTAGGAAACATTGTTTCAGGTGAGGTGGCAAATCAGCATAGCTCAAATAAATGGCATTATGAACTTCTTCAGGTAGTCCTGCGACAGACCATGCAGCACTCCTTGAAACTTCCTCCCAATCTCTGAATGTTCTTTCTTTTGTGCACAATAGTCCACCCACTGTCTTAATTGCAAGCGGCAAGCAATCACATCTTGTGACAATCTCCATACCGATGTCTTTAAAATTTTCTATATCAGTTGGATTCCTGCCCAAGACAACCTGTTCAAACATAAAGTATGATTAAGTTCCTTACCATATTTGTCTTGAAAATTTGTATAACAACTGTTGTCAAATTAATTTTGTATATGTCTGTATTGAATAGTACAGTGGATCACAAATGATGAAGCTATATGTTGCTATGATCTTAGGACATGAGACCGAGCCCTTCGCAAGGATGATCTTGTTTTAGTCCGTACAGTAGCTGGGGGAACCCACGGGTGAGTGATAATGTTTGGTCTTTAAGTCCTTGAAGATCATATGTGGGACATGTGTAAACTGTTCGATCAAGGGGTCGATGGCTTAAGGATGGAAAGATAGCCATGGCAAGTAAGAGTCTCCCTTCTTTTGGTATCTTTCACTAAAGTAGACAATACATGGAAAACATTTAAACTATACTAGTACTTTTCACTTCCAGAAATACCACTCTTAACTGGAGTTACTGCACCAAATTTTGTTGGGTGCAGTGCATCTAGATATTTTCATTGGTTATCTTCCTTTCTTATACCATGTTACAAATAAATGGACGATATTGCAGTATTGATGATTAAACAACCATATGACTACACGAGAAACAGATGGTAACTTAAGTTTTTGACTCATATATGTTGTACGCATTAAACATTGCTAATCTGGAACAGAAAAAAATCCAGACTTGGATCGGGGGTTAAATGTTGCTAATCTGAATCGTACAGTATATCATTCATATTTGCTTCTAACATTCTCACAGAAAATTTTACAAAAAAAAAAAAAAACATTATTTCGTATGCACATGTATCACCCATTCACCCTATACAATCTGTGTTGAAAATTGATGCTTCAATGCTTTATCAGGTGGTGGCCATCAGACCATGTACTAATCCAAATGGGAATAAAAATGACAGGGCCCAGTTGGTCCAAGTCCTCATGGCCCTATATGTCTCTGGATGCATAAGTCAGTGCCTGGAAGTTAACAGTTTTGTCCAAAGGAGTTCTCTTTTGTCAGATAAGTTTAGGTATTCTTGTTCATAGCTAGTACAAGAATTGCAGTACTGAGCTTTTCAGGAGTTTGAGATCCTACAGGCCTGGCTACAGCTGCTCCCATATGATGATACCGCTACAGATCGTTGGGTGCCCATCTGGGGTAACAAATACACTTTGAGACGCTTTTACTCCCAAGTTTTCAGCAATGTGGAAGCGCATCCGATCTTCAAAGCGGTCTGGAAATCAAAATGCACTCCGCGCATCAAGTTCTTTGCTTGGTTAGTCCTAGTGGACCGGTTGAACACCAAGTCAATGTTGCGGAGAAGACATTTACACATCCAAGATAGTATCTTCTGTCACGTGTAACAATGGGGAGGAGGAGACCATCGAGCATTTGTTCTTTGATTGTCCGTTCGCGCAGGAGTGTTGGGGGATCCTCAACTTCGTTTGGGATGGATCGTTACAGCTCATGGATAGGTTGGTGCATGGAAGCTTGACTCACAACCTGCCCTTCTTCACTGAAGCTGCATTGATAGCAGCGTGGGAATTATGGAAGATGCGCAAGGACAAGGTTTTTAAGAGGCAGCAACCGAGTCCAAATGTCTAGTTAGCCAATTTTAAAAATCAGTGTTACCTTCCGTCGGTACGTTTTAAGGATGATCTGAGGTCATCTTTTTGTGTTTGGCTCGATGGCTTTAGTTAATCCTTTGTGTGTAAGTACGTTCTATTCTTAAATTAACATTAAAATCTCACTGTGGGATCTCCCCCTACAGTCTTTTGCCGTAAAAAAAAGAATTGCAGTACTGTGGACACCAGTACTGTTCAAAATTCGGCAAGAGAAGATATGGCAGGAGCCAAGTTTTTTTCCCCAGGAACGGCTTGAGCAAAGATTTGACGATGAGCTAGGTACCCGAATCGGTGTGCATGTTCATGTGGTGGCTTCTGCATGACGGATTACATCTTTCAAGAAACACGAAAAAAGAGATCAAGGTTGTTCCATTGTTTTGGTTTCTTTGATATGCATTGCAAACAATGAGGCTCTTGTAGGGAAAATCATGGCTGCTACTGTAGCTGCGGCTAAAGCTGCAGACACATCTAGCACTGTGCCCAGCCGCAGCTGCAGCCACAGCGGCTGATTCAAACGCTCCCTAAAATCTCAAGCAAAAAAACATACTACAGTTGCTCAGACTGTCGAAGACACGGAAAAGAAGCATTCTAACCTGGTTCTTGAGTAAGCGCCACCCATCTTCAGGCTGCAGCTTCTCGACGCGGTGGATGTGCACGGCCTTCATCTGCAGGGCAACCATCTCTTTCCTCGTCGTGACGAGCACCCTGCTGCCACCACGAGCACCGGCCCTGAACGCATTCTCGAGCACCTTCTTCCAGGCCACGTCGCTCCACACGTCGTCCAACACCAGCAGGACCTTCTTTCCTGAGACGGCCCGCTGGAGCGCGGGCTCGAGCCACGACCTGTCCGGCGGCGTGGCGTCGTGCTGGTGGTGGTGGCCGCCTCCGGCGCCGACGATGGCCGACCACAGCAGGTCAGTCTCATTCACGTCCTGCGATACGCACACCCAGACCCTGAGGTCGAACTCGTCACGCACGCGCTGGTCTGCGAAGACCCTCTTGGCGAGGGTGGTCTTCCCGATCCCGCCGGCGCCTGTGATGCCGACGACGATGACATTGTCTCTCTGGTCGTCGGTGGTCAACTCCTCCACCAGCGCGTTCGCGTCCTGCTCGATCTTCTCGCCGACAAGATCGGCGTGGACGATCACCGAGCTCGTCTTACCGTTGCTGCTGGATGCCGATTGCTGCCGGAGCGGGACGGACGAGGACGAAGCATTGACGAAGTGAAACATGGAGCTCCGACGGCTGACGCTCTCCAGCCTCCGGTTCAGCTCCTTGATTTGCGCCGCCATGGCGTGCGCGAGCACCGGGTCCCGGAAGCACGTGAAGAGGGGCACGCAGCAGCCGGCGCCAGGGAACGAGCGCTTGGGCGCGTCGCCGCTGCGGGCCTCCATCTGCCACTGGTCGAGGACGTCATCGGCGTCGTACATGACGTCCTTGAGCTCCCGGACCCAGGCGTCGACGGCCGTGTCGGTGATGCGCTTCATCTCGGCATCGCCGAGAACATTGACGAGGTCCTCCAGTGTGACCTTGAGCCTTTCCATCTCCCCGGGCACGCCGAGGAGCATGTCAAGCCTCTCCTTCACGGCGCCAGCGACCATTCGCCCCAGCATGGGGACGAACGCATCTAGGATCATAGCCATGGGTTAATCGAGAGAGCTCAGCTCACGGCACAGGGCCAGCAAGATTGAAAGTGTGTATGCTTTGAGAGGTCAACGGCGACACAAGATGGGTCACTTGCTCTATTCTAGTTGCTCTTGCTCTTGCTCTTGCAAGTGAACAACTGGCACCTCGAAGTCTCCATGGTTTTGTCCTTTTTCTAGTTATCCTTGACTAATCTTCTTTGAATCTTCTCGAGCGCCTTGTCCAGCGAAGGATCGAAGAAGCTTGCGCGGATGACAACTTCTGCACGCTGGATCATTTAGCGCTGAATGTTTGTCTTATACTGTGCAAACAGAGAAAATCTGGAATTGGCACGGTAATATGAAATGTTGTTTTTTAGATAATTAAGTACCTTTCTTTAATGTCGATTTGTCCCTATTATATGGTTAGGGGTTCGGTTCGTTACTAGGAACCGTAATTTTTGCCTAACCGAACGGCCCTCAAGGCACCCGCAACAGTAAAAGTCAATTACTAGCTCTAAGCCAACCTCTCTAACGGTGTTAGCTTTTAGCAATGGCTCATAGTACGATTAGGCACACATGATACTCTTATATGTTTTTGGAATGTGTGTATGAGCCTAGCTCTTGATCCGAGAGCTGCTTTTTTCTCTCTTCTATTAAAATATATGAAAAAATGCTTAGAGCTAGCTTATGAGCCAATCATTACGGGTGCCCTAATAGCCTACAAGAGTGATTCACATCTGTGGGCGTGGCGCACATGTCTGGTGAGTGACTAGGGAGTGGATTTGAAACAGCTAGTTCTATTGGTAGCAGCAGCTTCTTGATAGTCCTTGTGGCTTAAACTAAACAAGTAAACATGAATGACATGATTTTGGGTAGGAAAAAAAAGCTTCTACAGCTTTGCAGATTGTCTACCTTATTATCCGATATATTCGTTCATAGCTTGTTTTTTAAAGACCAGATACATGTGTGTTGATTACTATGGCGTTTCGACTATTGGAACAAGTGACTATATTTTTTTTCTTATCCAAACACATGGATGGTAAATCTAATTTGCCGACTTTAGTGGTGTGGTTGTCTAAAGAACCAAACCTCTTTTAGTCTTTTAGGCTAGGGTGTACCTAGTTGTGTAGAGGCCAGGAGCGATCTCACCTTAATGTAGTTGCGTTGATATCAACCAAAACTTCCTTTATTGAAAAAAGAATTCCGAGTCCTAGTTACATTGTGGGCCCACTTTTAGGCTTGCATCTGTTGACACTAGATAAAGCAGACGGGTAAATATATATAAGCGCACATATGTCAACATAGGCTCATGAGAGCATACCAGAGTATCAATTTTCAGAGTGGAACGTTCTATGATAGGGAAACAGGTGAATACTACTTTGAAGTACTAAAGATTCAAGTTCTTGGGATTCACTTAGGGACGTCAGGCCAGTTGAACGGCGAAAATGGATGAGAAAAGTGTTAAATTATACCGACAAATAGTCCTACGTGTTTAATAACTTGTCCGAACATGGTGGATTACGTCATCCGGATAGGGCTGCCACCACGTATCAGTTACCCACAAGTCATCCATGGAGCAGGAGGAAACCAAGCGGCAATTTTGTGAAGCCTATGATAGAAATGGGCCCCCAAATTTCTTATTTCTCTAGGAATTCATCAATCTTATTGACCAAAAATATGATGGAGGAATTATCTTTCTACAGAGTACAGAGGTACTCACCTATTTGGTTGAAATTGAATGAAGATTACAAATTTATCTCAACATTATAGGTGAATAGGGAGTACATACCATTCATCATTAGACGATGAGGCACAAAGTGCATGCTTTAGTACATGATCAAAGTACAATACTAACATTGTAAGGTTTTTCCTAATCCTTAACGATTACATTAACAATCCTAGACGGTATATTTTGCGGGTTTCATAAGTTTCATTTCAATTTAGTTTAGTTCGGTAAACAAAACTCACCATTGAATAACAACCACCATACACATCCTAGGTACATGAGACCATTCCCATAAAAACCATTTATTTATGAAGTTGATTAGCCAAAGTTATACTGCAAGCTTTACTATATATTTGGTATCATAATCTTAGTAATTTTATTTACATTTAAATAAATTTAAGGTTTATTGATTTCTTAAAGTATGAGATGTGCATTTATTTTAGGACTTATTAAGTGCATAAATAGCTACAATGGCTTTGAGAGTGAAGCTGCTAATAAAATAGATGAAAGCTAAAAAATGGAGACAGAGTCAAATGCACAACACTCCATCGGTACTCACACGGACCCAAAATACCTGATCTTGTAGGATTTAAATTTTGTTTAAAAATACTTTCCAATGCACCTTTTTTTTCCTTATAATACACTTTTTTTTCAAATATTCCTTCAATCCCAAAATAAACGCATAATCGAGAAGTAAAACTTTTCAAGTTTGACTAAAAATATAGAAAATATTATCAATATTGTATCTTCAAATAAGTTTATTATAAAAGTGTATTCTATACTTAATCTAATAAAATTTATTATACATCATAAATATTAGTTTATTTATATATGTATATATGGTCAAACTTTTAAAAAATTGCTCCTTGAGACGTAAGATGTGCGTCTATTTTAGCATGGAAAAAATATATATGTCTGTCTCTATTTGTCCCTATCTCTTCTTGTTTACTCTTAATTCTTGCGTTGAAATTAAATAAAACATTAAATATTTTGGAAGGGAACCTCGAATATACTTGTGGAGCCGCGACCCTGATGCTCCCCGCTCCACCCCATCATCATCTTTTAATTGACGAAATCTGCACCATGCTCCCCGACACCATATTTAGCCACGTCAGCGGGAAAACCTCGGCACCTCATTGGGCCACGTCGCCTCCTTTTTCTCCACCGTCGGATTTTGATCGGGCCATCGAAACCATCATCTCCAGTGCCTTCTCGACTCCTGTGTTGCCGTAAGATGTAGTGGTCGGAATGCAAAAAGTCTACGCCCCGACGACTACGGCATCGCTTGCTCACCAGCGTGATCATTACTTAGTTGCTCGCAATTTAAGTTTCTAATGCCTTAACATAAAACAAGGATCAGATCGCAACGAACTTTATATATATATAGAGAGAGAGAGGGGCCAAACAACGTTTTCCGGGCATAATAAAAGTATTTACAGAAAGACTGACGCCAGACTCAGCTATCTAATTAATCATTCTTGGACAGGATTTCTTCTTCGAACATCTCCGCAAGGTCCCGCGCCGGGGGCTCTGCTTCCTTCTCAATTTCGTCCAGCTCGGCGTCAGTGTAGCCAGGCGTAAAGCCCTCACTGATCACCGGCAGGTCGATGTCGATGTAGTGGGAGTGGGCAACGGCGAACGCGCGATGGACGCCGGTGTGTAGGGCTTCCCTTGCGAGCGCGCGCACCCAATCCGGGATCTGAGTAACCCGGACTGTGAGCGAGCTCGTCTCCACGACCGGGGTGACCCCGACATCGTCAAAGACCAACCCGACAGCAATGCACAAGGCGTCGTGATCGTCGCTTTCCGACTGGAGTTGACCCCGCATCTCGGAGAGTTGCCTCTGAAGGGCTGCCCAAGCTGAACACCAAAGAGTGTCAGAAAATCGACTTTGAACATCAACCGAAAAGGTAACCAGAGCCTCACCTTTCACTTGCTCCTCGAGGACCGCCTTCTCCCTCTGGAGCGAGCCAACATCCCTGGCCAAGGCGGCGGCCAGGCCCTCGGCTTCTTCCTTTGACTTTCGCTCGTTTTTGAGTGCGCGCTGAGCAAGGTCGAGGGCCAGGCAGAGTCGTCCAAGCTCCGTGGCATCTTCCCCGCCCTTGGCGACCGCAGCCTTGAGCTTGTCCTCGGCCTCGTCGGCGTGTTGACGGGCTTCCCGTTCCTTGGTCTGGAGGCTCACCACTTTCTCCCGTAGCCACAGCACTTCGGCAGCAAGCCCCCAGACCTCCCTCTCGCGGCGGAGGAATAGGGACTTCTCCCGGCTGCGCATCGCAAGGGACTACGAAAAAATCAAGTTAGAATCATATAAACAGGGCTCAAAAATAGAAACGTGAAGACACGGCAAACCTGGCCGGTCGGGGCGATGTCATCCTTCAACACCCCCAACGCGTCAGTTAGGGAGCGGACTACGGACTCAAGTCCCAAACTCACGCTCGTCCAGTCCTTCTCCTTCGCCGGGTCGTCGAGGGTGAACACCGAGTCGCTTGGGTCCAGCCGCTTGACCCATCGGAGCCGACCTCCTCCCCACGCGAGCGGATCGTCGCCCGGCAGGACAAGGGACTGGGAGGACCTAGCCCCAACCGAGGGGTTGGCCGTGGCAACTGTCGGCGTCGGCTCGATGGGGGCCGACGGCACCCCCTCCGTCACCGGCGCTCCCTCAGGAGTGGACCCTCCGATGGCTGAGGAGGCTGGCAGCTCTGGCTCTGAAGTCCGAGCCATCACTGCATCTGTAGGGGATGCCTTGATTGCGCCTCCTCCCGTCTGCCCCACCTCGGGCATGTCGACCGGTGCGAGCGCCGATTCCACGAGCGCCTCCCCTAGCACAATCGGCTCCTCCGCCTCCCCTGCTTCCTCAGGCCGCGCCATGTTCGCCTCGGCGCCACCACGGCGCGCCCCCGGCACCACGCCAGCCAGCTCCTAGGGGATTAACCGACGCACTAGGATCTTCTGCGGCGTCAACGTTAGGGGTCTACGGGGTCCAGTCCTGCGGAAAGCACCGACGTCACACAAAGAAATCTGAGAATACAACAAAAGGACAAGGAAGTCATTAAATCACCTCGACGCCATTACCCGAGATCGTTTCGGGGGCTGGCCACTCGACTCTGACTCTGCCACATCGGGAATTGGACGCTTTGATCCCCCGGTGGGGTCGGTCGGAATGAGGCGGACTTGCTCCGCCAACCTTAGGGTCGTCCCCCCCCGCCGGTCTTGGAGGCGCATTGGGGTTGGTCGGAGCGGGGCGGACTCACTCCGCCAACCTCAGGGGCGCGTCCTCCCCCGCTGATCTTAG